TAATATCCATATTAATGTACGTCTTAATAGCAGCTGTATTTTGGGCAAATTCTTCCACTACTTTCATTGGACTTTTAATTAGCAAACAAGCTTTTTTTTTTTTTCCTTTTTGTCTTTTTTCGTGTCCGGCAACGGATCGCAACCCTCAGTGTCGCGTCCATACTGGACCGGGACCGGCAACGGGATCGCAACCCTCGGTGCTGCACCTGCACCTCGCTCAGCCAGTGAGCAGGAACCGGTCTGTATGTGGGATCCGAACCCTCGGCAGGAGTGCCGCCGCGCTCCCAAGCGGCGCACTGTAGCAGTGCGCCACCGGGCCGGCCCCGCAAACAAGTTTTAATATCAGAATATGCATCATTCTCCATCGAAGCATTTGTCACAAGTGGCCCCACGCCCTGAATATTAAGTCAACATGAGTTAAAATAGAGACAGAGTCGGCAAGGCATGAACAGTTACTTGTTCTCTCCCTGTTCATTAAAGCCAATCCCTGAAGGTGGTGCATGAAGCAGAACTAAGCCCTGGTATTCTATTGGTTCTCCCAAATTGAAATAAAAAAATAGGGGTTAAAAACAAGGCTTTCATATTGTGTAAACAGTTAACCACAGCACTGTAAGCTCTCCAGATGTCTCTGACGGAAGAGTGGGTAGGGCTGTTGCCTTAAACTTCCAGGACCCTTGGCAGCTCCATCAGTCTCCAGCCTTCCCTGGGTGGTAGCGTGTCATGGAATATAAACTTACACTTGACATCTCTGGGGGCCCTGTTCTTTCAGTCTGTGGGACTAGGTAGACATGTTAGCTCTTTGCTAGAAAAGGGATGCTTCTGAACATTCTCACGGATGTTTTTACAAAGAAACTGTAGCCCCAAGAGGTTAAATGACTTGCCCAAGGGGTCCCAGCTGTGAAGTAGCAGAAAGAGGCTGTAAGCCTGGGCACCCAAGATTCCTGATGTCTTGCAAATTCGGCAATCCCGATTTAACAAAAACTGAGTATTTATTTTGAGAAAGGCGTAATGCTAACTGCTCACCTGCTCCTAGCCCCTGACCTTTAAGAGTAGGGAGGGGACCCAGGGCAGGACAGTGGAGTCCACATAGAGCAGCGTATGCGGGAGTGGGAGGAGCAGGTCAGAGACAGCAGGGCCGAGTCCCCTGGCGAGGGCAGCATCTAGACAGGGTCAGGACCAGCAGGAACAGGCCCTAAGCAGTTGGACCCCCTTCCCAGGGGACATTACCTCCTGTTCTTGGGTAGCCACGCCCTACACATCTGAGGTCAGTTTCCTGGGAAGGACTGGCGGGGACAAGATGAAACTGCCCCTTACTTGGCTCCTCGCTGTAGCACAGAGACATTAGGAGCCAGACAAAGCCTTGTTAGCCCTTTGGGACCAGTCCCATGGGGCCACTCGTCTTTCCACCCCATTTCTCCGCTCGACCTTCCCCTTTCTACTTTGGCAGAGAAAGAGGTAGCTACATTTCTTCCCCGTGGATGAAATCCCTACTCCCTTTTATAATTCACTCTCAAGCAAGTTAACAGGGAGAAGTTTACACAAATTCTATCTGGAGATGTTCCTAAGTCGGACCCAGAGTTTACAGAGATTTCCAATCAAAGGTCTCACTCGCTGTTGTACACAATCGTCTGTTTTATTTGAGAACATGTCTACACTGCATTGAACACCAACACAGGTGTGACCAAGAAACCACAGTCCTGTCCCAGCAGGCACCGGGTCCAGTGTATGACTTGGGGTGGACTGTTACTTTTCACAGTGGGGGGTGGGGGGAGAGAGAGAACAGGACAGAAGTGAGCATCACTCCTAACTCCTGTTCAGGAATCCGAATGAGGAAGCCAGAAGCTGTTGACACTCGGGTAGCTCTCCTTGCTCCTTTTTCACTCAATCGGCTGATGCTCAAATACAGAACCTGGGCTGATGGGCCAGCTGGATTCGGGGAACATACAGACACACTGTTTAAAATAACATCCACATATTACTGCAAAAAAAAAAAAATGGGAGGAACGGGCTGTGCTTCCGACTGAGAGTTTACTTTTTCCTGTTTTATGAACTCTTACCAGCTTAGAGGACATCAGAATTGCACAACCACAATCATGACAGCGCATCTGCTCAGCATAAAAACTTTTCGTGTAGAAAAAAGAATTCAATGGATCGATGGGAGGAGAAACATAGAGACAGAATGGCCCCCTTGGACTCCTTTGTTTTGTCTTTTCAATATAACCCCACAGAAAGGTGGTACGTCACAAAGACTGGGAATGCTTTTAATTTCTTAATGAACTCTTTAAATCCAGCTGCTTTTGAAAAATTAATATCATACAGGATTATTTTTGCTCCTCATATCTTTCTTCTGAAGCAGAAAGCAAATGTTAGAAAACAGGCAGGTTCTATTTCCATGCCAGAGGCTCACATAGTTTCTTTCTGCTTGGGGACCAGCATAGTTCTGGAGCACGTGAGTCTCTAGAGATCACTGTGCATCCAGCAGTTTCCTCGGCATCCAGGGCAGAGATCTCCATATTCCAGAACAAAGCAGGCAATGTGAAGGACTTTCATCACGGAGAAGAGAGACGGCCGCCCCCTTAATCCTAGCTCCCTGTCATCTGAGGGAAGCAGAGAGACAGGTAGGGGCAAACCTCTGAGTTATGAAGTTATCGATGCAGAAGGCTTTAGGTAAAGCAAGCCTCGAGGCTGCTGGGCGTCCCTGTAAGAAGCAAAGTGCCTACTCCAAAGTATGGACTTCCTGTTTATGATCTAGAATGAATTCCTTTGAAATGATTTATCTGGAGCTAAAGGCAGTTCCTCATCACATATTATCCAAGTTTAAATTTTCTACTTGATTATTCACACCAAAACAAGCTTTAAAAAATAGACCAAACTAGACTGGAATGTGTACATTTCAACAGATCAGCAAATGCAACATTTTTGTGTCATTTACTGACACAGCACAAGATCCAAGGACTCCATTGATATAAATATTTCCAGATTCCTTTGCATTTTAACAATAACAGAGACTGGTCAGAACAAAGACATGCTTAGTTTCGAACCTCGATTAAATGATAGTGTCTTAGTTACAAGTCAGTTGACGTAGCTTTGCTCTGTTTTCTATGCATTTTGTCTTTTAAATCATCTTTGATAAAATTTATATTTTAGGACTGGCCAGTTAGCTCAGTTGGTTAGAGCACAACCTTGTAACACGAAAGTCAAGAGTTCAGTTCCCTGTACTGGCCAGCCACCAAAAAAAAAAATTATATTTAAAAAAATTTTCAGGGCCGGCCCAGTGACGCACTGGAGAGTGCGCCGCTTGGGAGTGCGGCGGTGCTCCCGCCAAGGGTTCGGATCCCA